GTTTTAGAAACGTGGGTTATTGTTTGGAAAAAAAAACCCACGTTTTAGAAACGTGGGTTATTGTTTGGAAAAAAAAACCCACGAAATCATACCCCCGATATTWGATTTCAAAGGGGGGACGCGCGCGCGTTGGTTCCGGAGGGCCCAGTAAGGTACCAGTTTAAGCGATATAAAATGCGTTAATCATAGAATCCTACCAGCCCTACAGGGCAAAAAGGCATTCTACTCAAACACCAAAGATTATTACTAGTAAAATCATGTGTTAATTTTGAAGCCCACTATTTAGTACTGATCCTACATCGATCTACTAGTATTTGGTCATTTTTTGACCACAAACAGTGTAATAGGACATTTAGAACTGCTCCAGTATGGCCTGAGAGGAGCTGTTCTTTGGGGAAAAGCTTCCTAATAGTGCTGGGAACAGCGCCATGTGTTATTGTTACACGATTAGAGGCCTTGGGGGAGCCGGTTCTCCATTAACAACTGGTATTGCCAAATTTGGCCAGTGGAGACCGGCTACTGGTTAGGAAATAGGCCAGATCTCTATCAAAAAACAACTTTAGACCACCAGACTAAGCGCCCAGACCAAGTTGATACAATTACTTAAAGATCCAGGTCATTGGGAAGCCAAAGGATGCTCTAGGGGCTTCAAACTAGTCATCCAAAGTTACAGTAGTAGTGTGGCCAAAAATCGTTAATTTTTGCTGCTTTTTTATTCCGGTTAAACTCGTACCTGGTACGAAGAGAACGATACTCCTCATTTGGGTTCTGTATCTCAATCTGTCTCTAAGTGCCACGTGTAATCCAAAAACTATTCCTGACCAACATCAGAGCCCTTATGGTGATGTGGTAGCACCACACAAGGTAGTTCAGTCAATGAGGCAGTACTACTAAGAGATAATCAGCCAACCAGCAAGATCGAGCCAAGAACTATAATAAACTCAACAAGAACCACCACCTTCCTTCTTCTTGGAGAGCAATCACCAATCAGAATTCCAGGAGATTTGGTAAGTAGTAAGAAAAGGCTTTCACCCCCTTTTCTCTTATGTGCTTCATGTTTCTGGGTGAAAGTGCTATCAGAGAACGTTTCTGACACATCAATCAATCTGGATCTGATAAAAAATATTCATTCAAACAAGTGCGCAAAAATGAATGCAGAACATGTTGCATGGGACAAATAGTAGTATTTGTGTAATGTATGGATGTAATTTTCATATTTTCTTCTTCGCCAAATGGTGCCGTCTGAATTGCAATGAAAGTAGGGAACGTTCATACTCCAATCATTAAAACAACCTCATATTATCATTCTCTTCTTCACACATTTTGCTCCTAGCAGAAAAGGGTAGTTCTACCCCTCTTTGTAAATCATCTACGTATGGCAGATGCCAAATACAAAGCAAGTGGCTAAAACTCAAACAGCTGCTGTACCTACACTCCAATG